TCTCGGATAATTTGAAGAAGCAAATGGAGAGAAATACCTACACTTACTGATTTTAATCCAATGAGTTGATCTTGTTCGAAGGAATTATTTAAAGTATGAGTGCCCCATAATCATAAATTACTTCTGGGTTGAAGCTGTGGTTTAGAGACCAATAAAATTGAAACTTTCTGAAAGTGACAGGTGGCCAAAATTTTCCAAATTTATTTCGGTTATCCTTGGACATAGCTGCCATCTGTCTGTTCTGATTGTGCTTTTTTTTATTTGTTTCTTATATTGCCAAACCATGTCCACGTTTGTGTGTTACGTTAGTAGAATAATTGATACTGTATGTCTGAGCTTGTTTAGTCAAAATAAGTGTTAGAAGTACTTAGGATTTTTCTTTGTATTGCTACTTTAAATACTTACAATGGCTTAAAATTGTTTTCTAAGTTTTAATATGAAAAGCAAGTAGTAATAAATCACCTGTTGTCTATGAATCAGTAGATCCCTGAACACTTTTTAGTAATGTACTGAGCCGTGTTGCCAGTCGTGTTGTATAACCAGCAGGCGGTTATGAGTGACAGCAGTACCCATTAACATTTCAGTTGGAATTTAACATCACATAACTAGGTCTCGTGGTTTATACCTCGGTGGCCCCCAGGAGCCTCATGCACGGAGACGGGGCTCCGGAGGCGCCTGGCCTGCGTTAGGAGGGCACGTAGCTGACCGGCTGTCCTGAGATGGGGGCTGGACGAGCTGGGTCACCGCAGGGGTGGCCCGGAAGGGCTCCTCCGCCTTCTGGGCTGCGCTCTCTTTGTCTGCGCCCCTCCCACCACGGCAGGAGCAGCCACCCTGCCCCTCCGTGCGGGCTGGACTGTGAGCTGAGACACACGCCAGAGTGAGCCTCTTCTCCTTAAGGGTTGGGGGTTGTCCGGGGCTGAGGGTGTGACTAAGACGTGCGGCCTCCTGTTGGAGTCATCTATGAATGGACTAGCGATTAAGCTTTATTTTTTACTAAGTTCACTGCTAAGTCAAGCTGTTCGATACTTACTCTGACGGTAAAAACTGTAAGGTATCTTTCGTTTTCAGTAAAATGTTGGTAGTAACAGATTTAAGAGCGCTTTACGTGGTAGTCAGTAGGAGCGATGGATCGCAGACGCCCGCAGGGAGCCTCCCTCTCCTGCCGGTCACGCTGCACACTGGAAAGAGAGAAGGAGCAAGAGGCAGTAGCGGGACAGCAGGGGAGCAAGCGAGCAACACAGAGCTCCTCGGTTCGCATTCCGACCCAGTGCCTGTTGGAGGCCTAACCTAGATTAAGTACCGGAACGTGGGTTAACAAATTAGATTGGTTTTTTGTACAGAGTGAGGGAGATGGATCGAGTAAGTTAGTACACCCGTTTTGGAAGTCAGTGTGGAGATTTCTCACAAATCTGAAGATAGGAACCCTGTTTCACCCCGCCGTGCCTCTGCTGGGTGTCCTCCCTGAAGACCTGGAGTCGTTCTGCCACAGCACAGCCTGCCTCAGCCCACCGGTGCTCTTGTGTGCAAGCAGCTTGGTTCCCAAGCAGAAGCAATGGCAGTTTCAGTCTGGTTGTGAGCGCTGCGTAGAGCGATGAACGCATCGTGGCCGTCCACCTTGCACCCGCGCGGCCCTGTTTTCCAGATTCGTGGCACAAGTTAAGTTGGTGACGAGGGGCCGCTGTGCAGTAGACACATGGCCATGTTTGCAGCACCACAGCACACAGTAGCTAGGTCACAGGCACAGCCTGCATGCCAGCAGCGGATGAACGGATAAATAAATTGTTGACACGCAGTGGATGCTGCTTGCTGCAGAGAAGGACCGCTGTGAGTCGTGTTTGGAAAATGGACGAATCGTGAGACCGTCACCCTAAGCAATGTAAGTCACAAAAAGTTGAGTATCTCATGGTAACTCTAAGATGAGAGAATTAAAATACATACAGCGTGACACGTCCGCAAGGAGGTCTACGTGCGTGACTGTCCCACTGGCTGGCTTGTCCCGCTGGTGGCTCCAGCTGGTGGGAACATGTTAAAGTGCAAAGTAGTGAGCCATGTGAAGAGATGGAGGTGGCGCAGTGGAGGTGGGAAAAGGATCTGGGAGGGAAGGGGAGGCGGGCGAGGGAGACCTGGGAGTGAAGATGAGCAAGGTGTCAGACCCCAGGCTGACCGTAACCACCCCACATAGCAGCGTACTAATTAATCAGACAGAGATGCGTAGGCCGGGAAAGCCCCCGCCTTCTGGAAGAAACAAAACCTCTGGGAGAAGAGAGACATTGTCCCAGACCTAAAGTGAACCATGCAGTAATATGGGATTTTCCTATGCAGCGCTCAGGTCATATCTGGATGTACGCATATGCACACAGCACTGAATTCAAGAAGCAGCAAAAAAACCCAGAAGAATGTTGAGATACTGCGATGATCAAACGTCATGAAAGCAGTTGAAAAAATAAAAAGCAAAGATCAGTGCATAATGGTAGGACACTGGAAACTATAAAAAATAACAAGGCAGATTTGGAAAAGAACCAAGTAGGAGTTTATAATTACAAAGTAATTACCTGAAGTTAAATAGTTTAAAGGCTAATACTAGGCAAAGCTGAAGTGAACATTAGTGCGTCAGAAATACACAAGAAGGAGCATGGAAGAGGAAAATATGGAAAATCATGGAGGGAACGCGTAATACAGAATGCAGTGAGGCGGTCTCCTCTGCCTTTGACTAGACTGCCTTGAAGAAAGGAAATAAAGGCCAGACAAACTACTTGGAGGATCGACGAATAGACCAGCAGAAGACAGTCCAGAAACTGCATGAATACTTCATTTGGAACAAAGGTGGCCCTGTGGAGTGATGTGGAACGGTTAATATTTTCAGTAATTGGTGCTTGTACAGTTGAGTGTTCGTATAGGAAAAAAATAGGGCTATTATAGACAGAAATCAGTTACATGTAGATCTAAATATCAAGGGCGAAACATTTTGTAAAAGATAGTGTTAAACATGTTGACGTTTGGGTAGAGGGAGATTTCCGTAAGACACAAAATTACTACAGTTAAGAACTATGGTTGGCAAAAACCAGCATTAAAAAGCCATACAAAGGGAAAAATATTTGCAGTATATCCAACGAATAACTTTTATCTAAAATAAATTGAGAACAAAACAAAGCTGTAAAGTAGTGAGTGAAAGGCCATTCCCATAGTAGAGTGGACAGTGTTTTCACAGTGTAGCAAAGATGGAGCTCAAATATCAAAAGTATTTAACATCATTAATAGACAACTTGATGTTTAGCATAGTTTTGTTTATAAAAATGACAAATACTATGCGGTCTAAATGCCAATAATAGAATGCCATTTGGCCTTCATCATTATGTTAATAGACTTATATTAAAAAGTTTGCAGAATATTATGTGTCATCCCTTTTTGATTTTCTTTTTTTTCTTCTGGTACCGGGAATCAAACTCACAACCTTGCGCTTGCCAGGCAGGTGCTGTACCGCTGAGCTAAATCCCCAGCCCCTGTCATCCCTTTTTGTTAAAGTTACATATACCTAGATGAGTGTGTGTGATACTGTAGACACAGAATAAAGTCTGGAAATATTTCAGGAAGTAGCTGTATATGGTCGATAGTACAATTGAAATTAATCATGTATATTTTTTGTTTTCACTTTTTTATGTTTTCCAGTGTTTCTAAATTGATCATGTATAGTTTTTACTAAATACATAGTTGTATGTAATGTATATTATATGATTGATATAATTACCAAAATATGGCAGTGTATCTATTTCTTCATTATGGGAATCGGTTTTCTCTTTTTTATTAAACTTTTGAACAGATGAATTACTCTTTAATGTTAAACATGTGCTGGTGCATATTGGTGTAGCACCAAAAAAAAAATGTGGATTAGTATCAGTAGTCTAAAGATGTAGTTCATTACTGAATGACCATTTCCTTTATGTTTTCTTTTCACTTAAGTTGGCCCTTTCTTTTCTTTTAACTGCAATTAATCTTGCTTTGTCTTTGTAATACTTCTTCTTTTCCATATCCTATTTTTTAGGATATTGAAATGTCCTTAATATTTTCTGCCTTTTTCTTTTGCTACAGTTTTTAATTTAGACATAGAGTTTAGAGCTTTTCAAAGGTACGCTATAAAAATTTAATTTGTTATTTTTTGTTTTTCATTTTTCTTCCAGTACCAGGAATCGAACTGATGACCTTGCACTTGTCAGGCAGGCGCTTTGCCGCTGAGCTAAATCCCCAGCCCCAACACTACAAAAATTTAAGCTATAAACATTTCACTCCTTTAGGATCTTAAATTACCTTAAGGTTTGTTTCTATAATTTCTAGCTTTTGGCTAGGGATATAGCTCAGTAGCACAAGTGCCTGCCTAGCAAGCTCAAGGTCCTGAGTTTGATTCCCAGTACAAAAAAAAAGCCACCTATAGAATAGTGGTCCAAGTTTTGTTGGGCGTGGTGGCACACACCTCTAATCCCAGCACTCGGGAGGCTGAGGTAGGAGGATCGTTGCGAGTTCAAGGCCAGCCTGGGCCACAAAGTGAGCTCAAAGCCAGCCTGAACTACATAGTGAGACCCTGTCTCAAAAAAAAATATAGAGAAAAAAAATTTTTTTTAGAATTTTTTCATAAAAGAAGAATCCTCTCTAAAGTAATGAACATATTAATTTGCAAAATGACGTAAGACGTGGATTTCACAAGGAGATATGTTTCTTAGCTTTGTTGTACGTCTTGTTTTTAGTTTGTAAGGGATATTATTTCACAGATTTGTAGAAATATGATATGCTTTGATTTGCCACATCTAAGAAACTTAGATGCATTTTAAATTTATTGTAGTAGTTAACATATATGTATATGCTTTAACTTTATAATTGTTTTTAGATTACTAGTTGTTCTTTTTATCCTTTTTTGGAAGTAGAAATAAAAACTGTACATCAACATGCATGTATGGAAATATATACATACATTCACACCGTGTAAAAATGTTGTTTTGAATTTCTTTTAGCCAGCAAATGGAATCTTCTTGAGCATGTTTCTGATTGTCCTGCCGTTGGAATCCATGGCTCATGGGCTCTTCCACGAATTGGGTAACTGTTTGGGAGGAACATCTGTTGGATATGCCATCGTAATTCCCACCAATTTCTGCAGGTACTGTGGTGTAGTCAGAAATAACTGCTTGACTCAGTAACGTTTTAATATTTATACATTATGTATATGAATATAAAATACAGCTTTTTTAGAATTGCAATTTTTAAAATTTAATGTCTGGTTGTATTTCATTATCCCAAACCTGTAGAAAACTTCATTGACCTCAAAAGTGTGGAAAATCTGCATGAAATTGTAAATACTGCTATATTTTTATTTTTTATAGCTAAATATCTATAAAACAGAAAAAAAATAGTTCTTGCTGCTAATGAATTTTGATGACCAAGTGTTCATCATACTTTTTGTGAGAGGCATATTCTGAAATCAATGTTTTTATCTAATTTCAAGTATTTGACAAATTCTCCAAACAAATTTATAATGAATATTTTCTTCCATGTTAATGGCTTGGCGAAAGTTGAAAATTCTTGAGAGAAGTAAAAAAGACAAGAGACTTGGAAAGGTCTCAAGTAGGACATGGCAATTCTGCAGAAAGAATACATGAAAGAATTACGTGCACAGTTAGATTTTTGTTTCATTGTAATTTCTGTTTATTGTGCATTCTTTCATTTTTCTTGACTGTTAAATGTTACAAATATGAAGCAAAATGTTTTCTTTTAATGAAAACTAAGTGCTCTTAGAATAGTCTTGTACCACATGAACCGAAATTCAAAGCTTCAGAATTCCGGGTAGAAACGTATTTTCTGGGTAGGAGTGATGGCTTCCCCGTACTACTGATAGTATTTTGTTTCTGCTCATGTAAAGCATGGTGTAGCATCTGTATCCGAGTCCTGTCTTAATGTGTTCCGACATCTGAGTCTTCAGTTAGTGCTCGGTGTGTAAGGTGTAGATGTAGCTATTAATACTTGTCTTTAAATTATATTATTTGTTTGTTTGTTTGTTTTTGGTTTTTCTCCGGTACCGGGAACCGAACTCACGACCTTCCGCTTGCCAGGCAGGCGCTTTGCCGCTGAGCTAAATCCCCAGGCCCTTTAAATTATATTAATAGATAATGTCTTCCGTCTTTTATATGCCTTAAGTTAGTAGAGCTTGAACCAACTTTATAAAGATTTTTCAACACAGAAATGAAATATATAATTAAAATATTGCTTCCATATTTTATGTAGTAAAATATTTTTCTCAAGAATAAGTTATTATGGTTCTTAAAATATGCAGTATGATCTTGCTTTTTAAAAGTCTTGTTCAATGGCTGTCAGCTGACGGGAAAATAAGAATAAGAAGCAACAGGTAGTACTCTCTACATTTGGAGATACTCTCCTAGTTTTTAGTTTAGTTATTGCTTTATTGATAAATGTGATTTTTAAAAATCAGATTGTAATTTTCCCAGCTTAAGTCTTAGTATTATAAATATTATAGAAAAGATGATTCTTAAAAATCCTTGCATTTAGGTTGCAACTGTGATTATTATTCTTAATCAACTATAATGAGACATGAGGGTATTACATAGAAAGATAATTTTTAAACACCAAAATAATAGTTTTTTCTTCTTCAGTCCTGATGGTCAGCCAACACTGCTTCCACCAGAACATGTTCAGGAATTAAATTTGAGGTCGACTGGCATGCTCAACTCCATCCAAAGATTTTTTGCGTATCACATGATTGAAACCTATGGCTGTGACTATTCCACAAGTGGACTGTCCTTTGATACTCTGCATTCCAAACTGAAAGCTTTCCTTGAACTTCGGACTGTGGATGGACCGAGACACGACACATACATTCTGTATTACAGCGGGCACACCCATGGCTCGGGAGAGTGGGCCCTCGCAGGTAAACTCCCCTTCGGCAGTTTCACTGCTGTGAAGACACACATACTTGTAGAAATCCGCTCTGTGTGTAGACCTTAAATTTCCCAGGTTGCCACTTTATGGTGCCCAAGAACTTGTATGACTACTTTTCTCTTTACATACCTATGTAGTGTAACTCTAATAATCAGCCAGGTTTCGGGGATTATGTTTTATAGTAATTGGAAAAAGCAGACTTGATTTGAGACTTACAGTTAGTTTCCTTTTAAAGTATTTTCAGAATTATTAGATTTAAATTTTTTAGAAGCTGCTAAGCTTCTTTAACTAGTACTTCCAAGTCTTTAAATGTTGTAAGATGCATGTATCAGTGGTCCTTCATATATGTAGCTTTATGTATGTTACAGAGCTCACTAAAAAGCTTTTGGGCAGGACAGGGTCTTGTTACACAGTCCCGGCTGACCTCCCACTCACTCCTCTCCTTCCTCAGACTCCTGAGCGCCGGGATTACAGGCAGTGGCCCCGTGCCCAGCTCGTCCCCAGAGTTGCCCGCCGTAGGCATTGTGGAGGGAGGGAGGCACGTCGCGAGAGCTTGGCTCCTGTTCTCACGGCTACCACGGTGTTGGTTTAGGCAAGGCGCTGGTTTTTAGTTTTTTCATCTGTACAGTGAGTGGGCAGCATGATCATTGAATTTCCTGGTAAGATAGAAATCGTGCAGCGCTCCTTTGGATTTTTTAAATGCTTTTAATCTGTTGGAAAAAAACATAAAATACTTGTGGTTGATGTGCATTATGGGAATAAAGGAAACACTTTCACTGCCAAGAAAGAAATGAGGTCTGTCTTTATGATACTGTGTAGAAATTCGTTGGCCAGTCCTCTCAACTGCAGGAGAGACCCCATAGGTCAAGGACTTTGTCTCTTGAATCGTTACATAGAACAGGGTCTGGAACATAGGTGGGGGCCTTAAATTATCTATAGGTGGATGAAGTCATTGAATGAATCGTGAAAACATAATTATTTTATGTTAAAAGGTCCATTTATATTTAGTCATATCCTGCCTTTTCTAGAAAAGATTTGAGATGTTTTAAAGCAAGAATACACAACAATAATAAAATAGTCATGCAGTGTCAGTAGACACACATTTTAAGGTCAGGAAACAAGTGTGAGAAGAACGGGGGCAGAGCTGCCCGCGTGAGCTCAGAAGGAGACGCCTGGGGAAGCAGGGCCTCCCGCGGGACCGCACTCACCTGCCGACGCTGTCACTGGGGTTTTGTCAACGACAAAGGCGTTTTCTGTGTTTAAAATAAATACTGAATAACTTACGGACTGATTAGAAAGAGCAACCTCATATAGATTCGGCACATTTGAAGCCTTGGCTGCTGTGCTTCGTGCTTTGTAAACAGCATTAGATTTAATCTTCATATGAAATCTTTTGAGATAGATGCCATTGCTGTTATTTTCACTTTTTAAAGAACAAAATGGAGCAGAACGTGGTTATGTCACGTAGCTGTCCGTGGCCGTACTGCCGAGTGGTAGAACCGTGAGGTGGGGAGCGTGACTCGGGTCCGGCTGGCCCGACTCGTGGGAGGCTTTTCCCTCCGTTCATGTTGCCACAAGGATGGACGCTGTGGTGATAGAGGAATGGCGGGTTTCGGGGAAGTGCTTAGGCTAGCGTGGGTCACCCGTTTTCCAAAAAGCAAGGACAGAGTACTCTGCATCTACATGAACATGGTTTAAACATCATTTATTTTTGATCACAATGTAGAAAACGGCTTTTTAAACCTTATGGCTTCTTCATTTCCAGGTATAATATAACACTCTGCTACCCTTTAACTCAGAACACAGAAGAAAAGTTTCTAGTCAATTAAAAATTTTCTAGAAATAAAATTTCATCCTTAAATCCAGGGAGTGCTTATTGTATATTTGCTACAATAGTTGTAATAAAAACTCTTCCCAAATGAGATGAGGGAAAAAGGCATAATTTTGGTGGTTAATACCTATGGCTTTGGAAATAATTTCTAGGCATCAAGCGTACTGGTTAGTATTTATATCCACTTTTTCTTTTCCTGGGAAAACTAAAAGACATCGGGATAAATAATACATAAAGCGGGGTATAACAGCGCGTGCCTGTAATCGTAGCACTTGGGAGGCTGAGACAGGAGGATCACCAGTTCAAGGCCAGCCTGAGCTACGTAACAATTTTGTGGCAGGCCTAGACTACTTATTGAGACTTTGTTAAAAAAAAAAAAAAAAAAAGGATATAAATTGGTGTTTGTAAATGTTCATTCATTATGAAGTAGGACTAATTTATGAAGACCTACTTCTATTAAGCTAATGTAAATTTAGTAAATATCAATCGCAGTCTGGGATGATGGTAATTAGAAGAGAAGCAGAAATAAATGGAAAAAATGCAGATAATCTGTAATGCTTTTTATCACGGATAAACCCTTTAAAAAAGCAGTCTGGGTTATTTAAAATGCCTCAGATGGCTGCTGTCTGATAAATGTAAGTGCTTCGTGTCTGGGCTGGGAGCCGAGTACACTGTACAGTCTTCGTACAGAGACGCAGGGCAGAAATAACTGGAAAGGCTTTCCTGCTGCTCTGCTGGTGTGGAAAGAGCATTTCTGTAAGTGAATGAGGGTAGAATGTGCTACAGAATACTGAAGCGGCGGTGCACCGTGTTCAGCGTTGTTGTTTTGTGGTGGGTGGAGTTCGTAATAGCTCTTGGAATCTGTGTCATCCTCTGATCTCTGGAGAAATGGCACAGAACCGGCAGTAGCGTACGTTAACGTCGGGCCATCTCTGAAGACGCGTGATCTGGAGGTGTGACACGTTAGCGCCGTGTGGGGACTGGGTGCCGATTAGCGCTTCCGAGCCAGCGTGTGTGAGCGGCACTGCAGCTCGTAACACACATGCTTCGCTGCCTGGCTTTGATGCAGCAGGCCGGTTAAAGAATGATTAATAAATCGTACATAGAGATCGCGATTTAGCCTGGTGTCTAAGTTCATATCACTAATGCAAACGATAAAACGTTTTCTCCCTCTCTGGTTTTGATACTTAAACAAAGGATGATTGCTCTTGGTGGAAACAAGTAGTCTTCTGAAGTTAGGTTGTTGATTTTGTGCTAATGAATTATCTTAAAACTTTTCTAATTTTAAAGGTAGTATATGTTCAGTGTAAAAACTTCAGAAAATTAGTCAAATATTTTTAAAACCAACAGTTGCTGCTGTAATTTTTATAGACACGTTTCTATTTGTGCATTTCTCTTGCCAGCATAGACATTTTCTTCTTTGTTTTGTTTTTGGAGACAGGGTCTTGCCATGTAATTCACTGCGTAGCCCAGGCTGGCCTCGAACTCATGGCCATCCTCTTCTCTCAGGCGTGCACCTCTACACCCTGTTTGCTCATCTATTTTTAAATAATTATTATTTTATGATACAAGCTTTTAAGATTATATCATAATTTATTTCCATTCCCCCCAAATTTCATACTGCCTTAGATACAAGTGAGAAGATCTCTAGGCAATTTTTTTTTTTGTCTCTACTTCTGTTCTTTCCTTAATATAATCCCTAAAACTGGATGGTTGTGTCTCTATGTCATTGAGACAGGGCTAGGACTAGGGTGAGGGAAGGGTTGCTGTTACCACTGGCACCGAACTAAAGAGAATGGCAAGAAAAACCCTGTCATTGAAATAAATAATTTTGTTTGTTTATTTATTTTTTTGGTACTGGGAATTGAACTCAGGACCTTGTGCTTGCCAGGCAGGCACTTGTGCCACTGAGCTACATCCCCGGCCCTGTTTGTTTGTTTATAAGACAGGGTCTCACTGTGTATTCTAGGCTGGCCTTGAACTCAATATGTAGCTCAGGCTAGCTTCAAACTCACAGCAATCTTCCTGCCTCAGCCTCCTGATTGCTGGGATTACAGGCACCTGCCATCATGCAAGGCTGAACTAAATAAAGTAACATTCCTAAAAATGAAAGTGAATGCAAAATACTCCAATGCACAGTGAACCATATATAATATCGACTAGTTGTGAAACAGGTTTCCAGTTTAGAAATGTGTTTGTTTAAGCCTGGGAATGTGGTTTGGTGGTAGAACCGTGGGTCCCACCCTCTGCACGGGAAGGATTAGAAATGTGTTTACTTTTCTCAAGTAAGTGTTTAGACTTTTCAAACTCTTTGTCTTTCCTCAGATACAGCACTAATATAAATATAATTCCATTCTTGAACTTTTCCTTGTTGGAAGTGTTTTTTTTAAATGCACGTAGTAGGTACCTATTTGTGAACATGAGGAAGTATTGTTTTACTAGTGGCATAGAACAGGGGCCAGTAAACTTCGCGCACAGAGCCAGGTATTTTTGGCCTTTTAAATTTTGGACTGTAGAATCCATTGCCACTACTTAGCTTTGGCATTGTAGAGCAAAAGCCGCCATCCAGGGGATGTAAGTAGTAAGTGTGCTTGTATTCTAATAGAATGTTATTTATAGACATATATGAAATGTAAATTTTTTGTGACTTTCATGGCACAGAATATTCTTTTGATTTTCTTTAAACTGTGTAAAAATGTAAAATCAATTCTCAGCGGTTAGGTTCCATAAAAGCAGATGGCAAGTTGGATTTAGCCCACGAGCTATAGTTTGCTATCCCAGCAAAAAATATTAGCTTTCTGTATAATTTTGATTTAGCTTTAAAGTAGTGCAAAAGCCATATGTAGTCAGTAGAAAACGTACTTTGAATTTGAATTTTGTTCTTTTCCTGGACTAGCAGTGTGCAGTAGAGTAAACTCCAGGGAGCCCAGGTAGTGTGGGTGAGCCTCAGGTCCCAGGGAGCCCCCCAAGCCCGAAGGCAAACATCTGCTGTTCTGCAGTGTGCAGGAATACTCGGTAGGCGAGGTCCACAAAATGTATAATCGACGTACAGTGTCTTCAACTGAGGGTGAGCTTATTGGAATATAAACTGACTGTAAAATCAAGAAGCATAAATATGTAAAACAATTTTCTTAAATTATCACAGTATATTCCTTTTTATGTAAGGAGTAAGGATGGTTGTATAAACTTGAAGATGAAAATCTGTCTTTCAAAATATCTTCTGCAAAGACAGTTTGAAAATGTCTTTCAAATGCTTGCATCTCTTTTTTGCTTACATGTTTAATTCTGAGAATTGTAAGGCAAAGAACTCATGAGAAAACTCTTCATGAGAGGCTTCAGAAATTTCTCTGTTCAACTTTCTCTTGTCCACAGGTGGAGACATCCTGCCCCTTGACACACTTGTAGAATGGTGGAGAGAAAAGAACGGTTCCTTCTGTTCGCGGCTTATCATCATCTTAGACACCGAGAATTCGGCCCCGTGGGTCAAGGAGGTGCGAAAGGTTGACGACCAGTATATCGCAGTGCAAGGAGCGGAGATGGCAAAGACAGTAGATATTGAAGAGGCCGACCCACCACAGCTGGGCGACTTCACCAAGGACTGGGTTGAGTATAACTGCAACCCTGGTCACGACATCTGCTGGACCGAGAAGGGGCGCACCGTGAAGGCGGTGTACGGCGTGGCCAAGCGCTGGAGTGACTACACGCTGCACCTGCCGACGGGCAGCGACGTGGCCAAACACTGGACGCTGCACTTTCCCCGGGTCACGTACCCGCTCGTGCACTTAGCTAGCTGGTTGTGTGGCCTGAACCTTTGCTGGGTCTGCAAGACGTGCTTCAGGTGCTTGAAAAGATTGAAAATGAGCTGGTTTCTTCCTGCTGTGCTGGACACGGGACAAGGCTTCAAACTTGTCAGATCTTAACTTGGACCCCGGGGCAGGGTGTTACTGAGCGTCCGTATCACCAGTTATCACTAACTTGCCAGTTTTTTGTATGCTACATTTTTATTTGTGGAAAATACCTTGCTACTGCTGCAGCTGTTCCACTTTGTCTTTTCTCAAGTAACGGGATCGGGGGGTGTTGGGAATAAGCATTATTTTATATTAAAAGTACGCAGGAAGTCATGAGTGCTGCCTCTAAATGCTTAAGAGATGTTAAAAATAACAGTGCACTTTCAGGAACGTTTGCGTTTGCCTCTGACTAGAAAACAGTTGTCTGTGCCCTGCGACGGCCAGTGGAGAGTGACTAATGCCTTTTCTCTACGCGTGCATTGGACATTGTAGGTCTGACAGGTTTATTCACTATTTTAAGACTACCAGTTTACTAACAGATTTCTTTTTTGTGAACAGTTAGGCTTGAGTCCACGGCCATTTGAAGAAGTATAAACATTTCTTAGAGAAGGAAACAGTCTACCCAAAATGAATGCAGAATTGGCTTGTACTTAATCACATTTGGGTATTTTGGTTGTGAACTGTTACGGTGTGGCAGAGAAGCTCAGATTCCCTTTTAGATCAAAGCATTCTTCATGTAGGTCCCCATAGGAAGCTGGAGGTGGCCACCTGTTCCTTCCTGCATACTGAGGGCTCCGAAAGCACTGCTAATTTCAAAGACTGTTTCTCAGGGTAACAGTGTTTTCTTAATGAACAGTGTTTCACGCTACAAACTTCTTGCTAATTCTTCCCTTTCAGAAAGTAGTCTTATAAAAGAAATTCAGCATTTTCTCATTGCCCAGTTCAGTCTAAGTATTCAGAAGATACTTCCATCTCTGTGGTGTTAATTCTTTGCTATGAAAGTTATTTTTTCAATTCCCATTTGTGGTAACATTTTTTTCTACTGAAGTTAAAAGGATAGGAAACAGGTCATTTTTCTTTGTAGGCATGCATTATATAAAAAGTATTCATGTTTGCAGTTAAGCATAATAAGTGTGGTTATAATGTTTAAAACTTAATGTTTTGTCTGAGTAAAACAGGCAGTGATCAGGCGGTCTCCTAAGAGGTAATTTATTTCATGTTCCCTTCCAGTGATCCTTGCATTCTAAATTTCTATCTTTGAGAAATATCAAGAGGGGATAAAATTGTGAGATAATCTAATCTTTGTTTCTTAAATAGTGACTTTTCACCATTGAAGCCATTTTTCCCAGTGCAGAGAGAGGAAACAATGCCTGTCTCTACCATTTTCTGCTGGGGAACAATTGAAGATTCGCTCAGAAGAAGTCGCTTGTACACCATGATCTATGCAGCACTGTTATTATAGTCTGATTGTTTCTATGTTTCAAATATGAGTTTCTTAAAGACTTTGAATAAAATTGTATTAAAAAGTAATTTTTCACTTAATGTGCAATGAATAGTTACTGAATGTTTTAGTATATTGAAAGTAATAATTATAAAAAATGACCATGTTTTAAAATTCATGTTTGGTGGCAGATTGTTTGGAAAATTTCCAATACTTGGTGAAATATTTTTATTAGCACAGTCTAAACAAAATAGTATAATGTTTCATCAATGCTCTTTTCAGAAATAATATAATAGAAAAGCCATGTGTTAAAGCATTCACTTACAGCATCAAAGAAGTTAATGTTCAGTAAAATCTCCTTGTTTTCTCAACCAGTAGGCATTAAACTAACTCTAACTAAAGCGGATGTCTTCGCTACGGGAAAGCCAAATAAATATAGAAGTATGTTCTGCATTCTTTATAATGTAGTGTTGTTAGTACTGAAAATTAATTAGAAGATAACAGTTTTATACCCTAAAAGTTAATTTCTTAACTATATGTACTATCTGTAAAAAAAAACAACCACCAAAAAAGGCCTTTGGGCCGAAAATGTGCTGAGCCAGCTTATTTACTAAAAGTTATTGAAATACACTTTGATGAATTTTCCTTCCACAAAAACTATGACTCTTGAGGATGATAAAGTTGCCAATTTTAAAACATTGCTAATGTAGTGGATAGTGCAGAGAATTTTATCAAAAGGATCAAGTAGTACTTTTGCCTAAAAATTTTAAAAAATCTTTAACAGTGAGACTAATTTGCTTATGGTTGTCATTTTGTGTGACATGTATTTATGAAGCAGTTACTTGAAATGAATTATTTTAGGGACACTTTACCATTCTACTAAAAAGAAACATGGAGATATTTCTCAACATAATTCACGTTAATATTTGTTTCCTTTTATGATACTTTGCTAATGTCACAAAAAATACTGTACCCCAAAATCATCTTTTTAACGGGTGTGCATCGGGGCTAGGGATTTAGCTCAGCGGCACAGCGCCTGCCTGGCAAGTGCAAGGTCGTGAGTTCGATTCCCGGTACCAGAAAAAAAAACAAAAAGTATAAAAAAGGTGTGCATCATTGTATACCACTAATTTATGAAGTTCTCCCTCCCAGTAACTTTTAGTTATGTTGTCCTTTCACTCAAAAATTTTTAGTTTGGTTTGGTCTAAGTTCTTCTTTAGGAATGTTGGATTTATCGTTCCATAGAATACTATCTTGCTCTTAAATTTAAAATTCTGTGGAAAAGACCTTTTTCAAGAAATTTTTTTTATAATCAGTATTTTCATCAGCTTCACACTTTAATGAAGATGCATTTACAGATAGCACAGTCTTCTTTAGAACCTAGTTTTTTTTTAACTTTTGGCTCATACAGATACGCTGTTTAAGGTACTTCTTTTTCATAGACTGTATGTTCTTTCACATTTCGTGTCTAATACTTTCAAAGTAATGTTCTACATTCCCTTTCTACAGGTGAGGTGGGAGCTAATATTACGTGTGCGGGAAGAAAATGTGCTCCTGTGATTATCTGAGAGTAACTGCTCAAAAGAATTTGGTCGGACAGTGCTTGTGACTGTTTCTGTTGGAAGCTACCAGGCTACTATCTCTTGTCAGCGGAGGCTTACCTGTTTTGGTATTTCCGCACATGCTGATCCAGAAGAATGCCTTGCACATAAAAGAAGGTGTTTAATAAATACCTTTGACGGAGTAAATGAATTAAGAATCCTAAGAAATTGGAATAGCTTGATTGCAAGTTACTACATTTTCTTTATAACATTTTTAAAGTGGGTATTATTTCAAGATTATCACTAAACAAGTAAGAGGAAATCGTATCTCGTATTTGACGCTAAGAGTAACAAGTGTCAAGGTTAGGCAAGGAAAACTTGTGTTGCACTTGCTTACGTGAAACCTAGCTAATGTCACCAAAAAAAGAGAAAATGCTTGTGGTTGGAATCCCTGTGCCTCGTGATTCCAGTATGATTTAGTCTTTGTTATAGTCAGGGTTTGCAAGGAAATAGATCTAATACAGGACACAATTTAAAGGATTATTTTATAATATTCACCTGAAAGGTCAAATGTAGAAGAGTGCAAGATCTGTCCACTCACGAGAGACACAAAGAATCCAGCTGAGGGCCTGGATTCCACAGCAGTGTGCTGCTGAGTCCCGCTGGAGGTCCAGAGCCCACAATAATGTCTCATGCAAGAACGTATCAGGGATCTGTGCTGGGAAGGCCCAAAGGTCAGTGGTGGAAGCTAGAAAGTCCGTGCCAGCAGGCTGAGGGATCTGCACTGGAGCCAGAAAGCGACGCTCAAGGTAAGGACCAGAGCTTCCCTGAAGAGGACCACAGCCATCCTCAGTGCATCCCTGAAGAGAATCACAGCCATCCTCAGCAACAGCAAGGACCCAGGCGTCCATGATGATGAATACAGCTGAGTTCCTATCAGGAAAAGCAGTGTGACAAGCTGCTTCAGGAGAATCAGCAGCGCACCATCTTCCCCTCCAGTTCTTCCATGCTGTTCGCAACAGTCCCCAGGTGCCCAGGCCTTCCACACCCAGCACCGCGCTGGTTTGATTTCAGCTGGGTGTTACAAGTTGACCATTAATTAATCCACCACACATTCATGTCCCATTATTACATGTAGACAGATTTGAGATTTATCACAAAGGAACATACTAAATTATAAATTAAAATATTGTGGTCTGCACACAAGGCCAATTCACATAACAGGTTAAGGCCAAGCTAGGGAAGGTGTTTAGTATCTCATCTTCAGAGTGTCTCCTCTCTCTTCTCCAGTTGCAAGACAGAAAGTTCTAAAAAGTGAATTGTTTGAGGAATATTCTGTCAATAAAGTCATCTATGTTTATGTTTAATAGGAAATATCATTACACCAGACCAGATTTGCAATTAAAAATTGTGGGCTAGCCAGCAAGGATTTGAGTTTTTTTTTTTTTATTAATACCTAATACACAAACCATTTTGATTTAAGCCCAATTGACCAATTATTTTGTGTGATGATCTCACAGTATAAATTTAAACTTAAAGACATGAAAGCTTAGAAGTGGATAATTTTAGTAAATTTTATTGAGTTAAGCTCCTATCCCACGTTAAAGATTTTTAGCATTGTACCAGAGATGAGTGAGGAATAGGGCATCTCTTTAGACGAGCCATCTGTACTCCATGTTAAGTAACTATTTTATATTAAAATAGCTACCAATATGTTGAGCAAAATTTGCATGAACTGTAAATATGAACTATAATACTTCAAAGCAATTTTAATTTGTTTTATCATCCTTGCCACAAAACACTGAAGCATCTTTGGACAATGTTGAATTTAATTACACTCCATATAGGACATTTTTCTTGAATCTTTTGTCTTATGGATTGGAATGCAGATAGCACAATGAATTTTCACTAAGTATCTTGTTATGTACATATATATATTGAATTTCAGATGTATGGTACTGTAATGCAGTTTTATAGTAGATATTTCTAGGTTCTTCGGAATCCTTATAGTTTTCTCTTGAGAAATAAGTATTGGTAAGGAAAACAGTAGGAGTTCTCATTTGTGATTCCTGTCCATGAGTGTTGATGCCCTTCTCTCCTACCTCATTGGAAGAGACTCCTCTTGCTGCCACCATTAGGGCATTTACATTCCTTTCTTCCTTTCCACGTAAAACAACTTTATCATAATAACAATAAAAATGATCATGGCTATAATCTACTGAGTGTTTACTGTGTTCTAGGAACTGTGCTTAAACACTTTACATGTGTGATTTCATTGAATCTTCCCAACCACGTTATATGGGAGATACTTTTGTTTTATAAATGAGGAAACATGCGATGAACTTAGATACCTTTTCCAAAATGGCACAGCTATGTGTAAGTGATTGTCTAACCAATTTGAGACCCGTATCAGGCTTCAGCATCAGCTCTGGCTCCAGTCTCTTAACCACTACCTTATAATCCTATCAGATGTATATCTCCAATGTCTCTTCTGACAGTTCTCTTACAGTATGGCACGAACACTCAAGGCTTTGGGGCAGTGAAGTCCTCCTTTAATCCTACATCAGCCCATGCTCAGACAGAGTGCATACATATATCCATCCAGATCGAGTATTTCTGCACTTAGTCTCCCATTTTCCAGTTCTAATGTATCTCCTGTAAATGGTGATGTGAGTTGTACCTACAGCTCTCGCAACAATATTCTTACTCAACAAAGACCTTCATATTATGAAAGAAACACATTTTAATTGATCCGTAGAGCATTTATTAATGATGCCTTTATTTCCTCCATCTTTAGCTTCTGTAGTGGGGTTCTTCATGTTCCCGCTGCCTCTGTGTTCACGTCTGGCGGTGTTGGTCTGTTTTGCAAACCCATCTTTCTGTTCCTAACTCCCTGCCTGCCTGTCCTGTTACCTACTTCCAGTGACCTTGGCCACACTTGGGATCGCAGCGATTCTCAAATCTGCTTATTCTCAAACGTCTGTCTCGGCCTAGATGTCTGGCACTTCAGGCATGTGTACACAGTCATGAACCGAACATTTAATTTTATAGACTCCTCGAACTCAGTCCAAATCGGAGCCCTAATTTACCCTCCCAATCGCTTTCTTTCCTCTGTTCATGTATGTACGAATGGTAGCATTCTCGTTTGCTCACCCAAACTAAAACGTGAGCTTACCGCTTGACCTTCCTCATACCATCTAATTACTCTCTAGGTCCTGCCAATTCCTATCAGTATTTTATAGAGCCATCCCCTTATTTCATTTTGACGGCTTTTGCCTTATAAAAATCCTTCACTGCTTTTCCTTTTTTTCATGTTCCATTTTCTTCATCTTTCAAGTCCTGTTTCGCTCCAGTATAACCTTCGAGTTTTTGCCGAAAAGATCTCTCTACTTGTGCTAGCATATTAGACCCTCTTGGGGACTGGGAGCTTTCCACCTCCAGCCATCTGCATCCTAACCACGCTCGCTCTCCTGTTCTTTAGAACTAGTGCAAATAGCATAAAATGTGATTTTAAGAAATTGTTCTACTTGGGTTAAAACCGTGCCGGTCTCAAAATATGTTAATCAGAGTTGAACCAGCACATTAGTCATCTTGGCGGGTGGATAAATGGTGCTGGTGGTGTGTATTTGGAAC